TGTTGGATGGATGGATGGATGGATGTTGGATGGATGGATGGATGTTGGATGGATGGATGGATGGATGTTGGATGGATGGATGTTGGATGATGTTCTCACATTGATGTCGGCGCTGTCATGTTAGACTTAGGTACCCTGCTGGGCTGTGGAGGTCAGAGGTCATTCAGAAGTGGACTCTGTGCTCTGATTGGCTCGTTCAGGTTCACCTGGTGTGTGGCGTTTGCGGCGACGCTGCAGCAGCTGAACGACATGGCGGCTCAGAGAGAAGACCTGGCCGACTGCCTGCACACGCAGATCGCCTGCGACCTGACGCGCTACACGCAGGAGCTGAAGGCCGAGAGGAAGACGGTGAGCCAGGCTGGGGTCCAGGGGCCACACCAGGAGAGGTCGGAGGTCAACAGGAGCCTCTCTGATCATGGAGCAGGGGCCCATTCATGGCCAGAGGAACCCTGTAGGCATTTCTCATTCCAACAAATTTTTCTCGTTTCAGCATTTCCAAGATGGCCGCCGTGCTCAGCAGCACATAGAAAGCTCCTGGAAGCAGCTTGAGTCTGTAAGTGATTTTTGACCCCTCAGTTCATTCAGTCTTCACAGTTTGACTCCATCTTGCTTTTTGATATTTATAGATATATATAATCTAGATTGGCTCACGTCGGGGTTTTTTTTGCGTAACCATAGCAACAGAGAGATAGAGCTGGATGAGCTGCAGCTCTCCCTGTGTCTGCTGCAGATGTGAAGCAAAATAAAACACACCACACCGCTGTAGCCCCTCCCACGCCGCTGTAGCTCCTCCCACGCCGCTGTAGCTCCTCCCACATCGCTGTAGCCCCTCCCACGCCGCTGTAGCTCCTCCCACGTCGCTGTAGCTCCTCCCACGCCGCTGTAGCCACGCAGAGGCGTGGCTGTGTGCAACTGAAGCTTTACATTTGGTTGTTGTTACACATCAGATTATTGATCAATGTTTTATTGATTATGTTTCCATAGCAACTCCAACCAGCTGGTTTTAGCCTGAAAGGAACTCAGGGTTTCGGCTGTTTTGCAGTTTTCTGGAAGCTGGAAGAACTGTAACTGACTCTAAATCTATGAGTCTAAATCTGTGACTCTAGATCTCTGACTCTAGATTGTTCCTCTTTAGCTCCAAAGATAATAACTTCAGCTCTATTTCTGTTCAACTGAAGAAAGTTTTGGCTCATCCACACACTGATTGGTCTAAGCTTCTGTTCAGTGATTGGATGGTTCCGAGTCTCCTGGTGACATCATAATGTAGGGTTAGGTGTCACAGCGTTAACTGTTGATGCTCTGCAGCGTCTGGCCCAGAAAAGCTGCTGCAGGTTCCAGAGTGTCAGCCGGTGATTCGCCAGGCGAAGCTTTGGGGAGATCAGTTGCACATGAGGTCTTTGCTCCTCATGTGGAGAGCACGCCCCCTAGTGGCTCATATGCTGCAGAGCGTTAGCATATCATTGGGATCCATTGGAGACCCACAGAAACATGCTGGCTGTATGGCGGCCATGTTGGTGGGTGTTTTTGTTATGGTAGCTTTTACAGCCACACATCAGGGAAACGGTTCCCACGTCTGAAAGGTTGAAGCCGTTTCCACGTTTTGGGTGTTTTTCAGAGTAAGCGTCGGTTTGAGCGAGACTGCAAGGAGGCGGAGCGCGCTCAGCACGTCTCAGACAGGATCGACCTGGACAACAAGGCGGACGGAGAAAAGGTTTTACTCACACTTTACCTGCTCCAGTTCAGAGCAGTCAGCAGCTTAGTTTCTCCTTTCCTGACCTGATGTCTCTCTGTGTGTTGTGCCTCAGTGCTGCTCTCTGAAGGTCGGGCCGCCTTCCTCTATGATCTACATTAGTCGTATTTCTGAAATGAAATTAATGTTTTAAAAGCTGAAGTTGGTGTTTTCTGACTTCAGGCTCGACAAGTGGCTCAGCAGAAGCAACAAGCTGCTGAGGAGTCCAGGAAGGAGTATGTGACCAGTCTGAACCAGTTCAACCAGGACCAGCACCAGCACTACCGCACACTGGTTCCAGTTATATACCAGGTGAGGGACTGGGGCGTGAACATTAGAGTAAGAGGAAACCATCTGCATTTAACTCCTGCACCATTTCTTAAGAGGTTTTATTAAAAGTGACTCAATGACGGGGGTCACATGGGCAGGCGAACAAGATGGCTGAGGCTCTCCGTCCCGACATGCAATTAGATGACTGTACATATATAAGGGGCTCTTATTTGGTATTGTTCTCCCTAAGTGAGGTAGCAGTGAAGGCTTATGGACTCCTTTTTCTTAAAAAAAAAAAAAAAAGTACTTTAATCCTGCAATGGCCCCAATGAAACAGGCCAAGTGTCGACCCGCAGCAGCCCTCCACATGAGGAAGAATGGGGGAAACACCTCATCCTCCTGGAAGAGGTTAAAATGAGTAACAAGCTATAAAGCGTAGCTGCTGATGTCTCCACAATAAAGCAGACGACGTCGGAATTGAATACAGCGGTGGCTGCAATGCTAGAAAGGCTAACGGAGGCTGAAACACGCATCGCCCGCTTGGAGGACAGCCAGCTAATGGAAGCCATGTTGGACCGCACACAGGTTCTCGAAAATCACAGTAAGAGGAATAATGTGAGTTATTGGGCTGAAAGAGACTATCGGTACTGATGGGACACTTGAGCTGTGTTCAGAAGATGCTAACCGAGGGGCTTGGAGTTCGTGATGACGCCGAGTTTGAGATTGAACGAGCCCACCGGGCCTTCGCACCGTTACCCGACCCGAACCGAGCCCCGAGACCGGTTCTTATAAGATTCAGAATCAGAAGAATTTTATTGTCTTTGTCACAAAGACAGCGAAATTACAGTTTCAGTTTCAACCATCCATCACGGGGGGATAGTTGGCTGAGGCCTCGCAGCCCGACAGGCGCCGCCCTGATTCCTGAGGCAATCAGCGAGGATAAAGTAATTATGGCAGCTAAGGAGAGGCGCAGGTTTGAGTGGCGAGGATGCAGCCTATCGGTGTTTCCGGAGAAAAGGAAGGCTTTCACCGCCGTGGAAAGAAAAGCTAAATATACCCGGGCGTTTCCAGCCACGCTGCGCCTGAGGTGGAAGGGTAAAAACAGCTTCAGCTTGGCCAAAGCAGCAGAGAAGTTTTTCAATGAGGAGCGCCGGGAGGAGGACGCCCCAAACCCACCCGACTAGGAGCCCATAGAAGATGCGGGTCCGACTGCCGGGAGGCGGACCGGCCACCGTCATCATGGACGGAGCGAAGCAGAGTCCACGGACCTCATAAGGTTTTTTATCCTGGTTATCCCTTTTCTCTCTTCAGCTGCTGTAGACAGCACCAACAGAGTAGGTTTTAAGTTTTTTATTTTTTTATTTTTCATGTAGTTTTTTTTTTCGTTTACATGACGGGAATGTAAATAGTTTTCATTTTGGATGGGTGACTCAGTAGATTGGGGATCAGGGGACAGGGGGATAGATGTATCTGCTCAAAGTGTTTTGTTACAGGGTTAAAACATGTATCAATCTATAATCTGTAATGACTAGGAAGTATATAAAATTAACATCTTGGATGTGGAAATCCATCCAAAAGGCCCAAAATATTGTCTTATTTAAAGACAAATCAAGCCGTTATAATATTTCTCCAAGAAACTCACCGAAATGAGGGGGAAGAGTCCAAGTTTAAGATGGGTTGGGTAGGACGTATTTTTCATAGCTGTCACTCAAATTCTCGGTGTAATTATTCTTATTAAGATAAATATTCAGTTATCATTGATAAAACAAGCTAAAGATGCAGAGGGAAGAATAGTTTGCGTTGAAGCATCGATGGAAGGGGTAACGGTTATACTGTGCTGCATATATGCAGCCAAGAAGGAGGAGCCTAACTTTTATAAAATAAACTTTTATAAGATAAATAGTGAATTGGGAGATATGGAAGGACAAACAATATTAGCAGGGGATTTGAATGAAGTTATGGATCCTAATCTTGATAAAAGCACATAAAAAGGTCCACTTGGCTCTAAAGGAAGAGATGCAGTTCATATGCTGAAAGAAGATGTGGGTCTAGTAGATGTTTGGAGGTTAATCAATCCGTCTAAAAGAGAGTACACATTTTATTCTCATTGTCAGAAATCCTATTCTAGGATCGATCTGTTTTTAATTTTAAAACTCGGTAAATAATGTGCGGAGCTGTGATATTAAAACTACTGCACTCACTGACAGTGGCGCAACTGCACATCATTCAGGTGGATGCGAAAACATAAATCGCCCCCCCCCCACCCCTCCCCCCCCCGAGGGAAGGAACTTCAGGGTGAAGGACTGACGCTCAACCCCCCCCGAGGCGACGCTACGTGGAGTGTAAAACTCGCTACATTTACCTCGTTATGTGCGAGAGGTGAAGCAGCGTGAGGCGCGTAACTGTATGGGAAAACATAATTGGCGCGTCGCCCCCTCCAGAGGGGTTTTAGCGCCCCCTCTGGTGCTGCGCCCCTATGCGTTGCATACGCTGCATACCCACTTTTTGCGCCTCTGCTCACTGACCAAGCAGCTGCTGAATTATGCATAAAATTAGGACTGAAATAGAAAAGGCTTGAGATGGAGAATGAATGTCTTGATCTTACAGGACAAACCCTTTAAAGAACAGCTGAGATACGCTTTTAAATAAATACTGGCAGTACAGAGCATGTTCAGTCTGCATGGGAGCCTGTAAGGCCTTCCTGAGGGGTTAACTTATAGCATATACCTCATGGAAGAAAAAACAGAGTTTATGTAAAATTCGTAAATTGAAAAGAGAAATCAAACTTAAAGAAAACAATCTGGCTAGGTGTTATGATGATTTACTTTATCGAGATATTTGCGGGCTTAAGTTTCAGTTAAATGAAATTTATAACAAAAAAGTGGAATATTCTCTATTTAGGTTGAAAACTTCATTTTATGAGGGAGGAGAGAAAACGGGCAAATTATTAGCAAGACAAGTTAAAAACGGGTTTTTGAGCACAATCACTGCCATTAAACAAGGAGATACTTTAGTAACCTCAGCAAAAGACAAACATTAGATACATCCTCAGTGTTTAACGAGACAAACCAAAGGGGTTAGGGACTAACCCAGCAGCATGCAGAGTGGTGTGAAGCACCAATTACTGAAGAGGAGATGAGGAAGGCAATTTCAGGGATGAAGGTGGGCAAATCCCCCGGTTGTGATGGTTTTCCATCAGAATACTGCAAGGAGCATATAGATATTCTTCCAGTGTTACAAAAGGTCTATCAAGAGATTTTTGAGAGAAGACAGCTGCCTCCTACTTTTAATGAAGCTCTGATAACCTTGATTCCGAAAACCAATAGGGATAGCACGGACCCGGCAGATTATAGACCAGTTAGTTTATTAAATGTAGACTGTAAAATATTAACCAAGGTGTTGGCTGTGCGCTTACAACAAGTCCTTCCTAGTATTATTCATCAGAATCAGACAGGCTTTATGAAAACCTGCTCCCCTTCTGATGCACCTAATGGACACTATACAGATGGATTCGACGGTTTCAGGGTAGCCAATAAATTGGGCTAAATCTGAAGCCATCCATTATCCTCTTTATGTCATTCACACATGGTCAAAGGTTTTAAAATCAAATGGATACCTGAAGGCATGAAGTATCTTGGGATTAGACTCAGTAGGGATTTGGAAGCGTTACCTTCACTAAGTTTTTATCCGGTGCTTTCAAAAATTAAACTTTGAAAAGTGGGAGAAGATAAAACTAACACTATGGGGTAAGATTAACGTTATAAAAATGATCGCCGCCACTCAGTTTAGCTACCTGCTTATGATGCTTCCTATTACAATTCCACTTGATATTTTTAAAAGATATGAACATTTGATTAAACATGTCTTGTGTGGAGGTAAAAGAGCGAGAATAAAACTATAAAAATCGTATGGTCCTAAGGAACAGGGTGGGTTAGGAGCTCTATTGTCTGTCATTTGAGATTTCTAAATCTC